ACAAATTATCAACAGACACTTTTAAGAAAGGTTATCATGTCAGTACCGAAAAAAGTAAAATCACAAAAAATACTGAACTCTGAGAAAAATTCCGAACGGAAAGTCCCTAATCAAATCGCAAAATCAAAAGATCAAACACATCAAATGAATGAACAACAACTTTCACCGAATACTGAATGTATAGAATGCATCCGTACAAAGTGCTTTTCGAATCAAATTTATAGAAAATATTGCCATCGAATGACAATTTTTATCTTTTTATATTTTTCTCAAATATTTTGTTCCCTAGATGACATTAATTGTAGAAATGCGTGTCTTGTGCATTAAAAAATGTACCGTTAATATTATTCATACTTTTGTAATTAAAATTATTAACTGATGACGACCAATAACTTGTTTGAGTTAAGATTGAAATTTCACGAGAGTATTATTTTTTTAAATCATGTAGATGGAAACCCTAAAAATAACATATGTTCCAGATCTTATGGGATGGCCATTGTCCAAAACATTTCATGAGATAAGGTCTCATCTGTGTCTTAGGGGTCTCGAAGAGATTATTTAAAAAGGTATTCTAGATTTCACCGACATTTTTTAAGCAGTATTATAGGAGACCTTCTATCAATGTCCGGTTTAAGAATCATCTCGAAAGTTTAATTTCATATTGATGATATTGAAGGTCAATCTCATGGAACTTGTTACACTGAAAATGTTTGTTTCATAATACAATCACATTCACTCGTATGATACAGCATTTTACGGCAGTTTCTATAGCATTACCCATTTATAGACGAGTGACAGTTTTAAAAAAGACGCTTAGTTAACGACTTTAATGCACCCACATAAAATACGACTATATCATATATCATTCGAAAGCATATTAATCATACTTTCAGTTTTGCCCGGTTGTCAATAATTCGATCAGTGCAGATTTCGCTAAATCAAGGTCAAAGTTCAAAACTGAACTTTCCTAAATTTTGCTAGAATTAAACATTCCCTTTTCTTGTACTTGTATTATTTTTTTTTCTAAACATTATCTGAACCTTATAAAACAACATACCATAATTCTAAATCGAATGCAAACTAAAATGTTGATTGGGCAGTATTTACAGAAAATTGCATTTCTTAAAAAAAAAACTTCCAAAAATGATAATATTGCAATAAAAGCTAAATGTTTCATGAGGTTAGAATATTTATATGTCAAAAATAGAATAGATTTATCGTTTAAAGGCCAAAGGAATTTTTTCATCATTTTAAACTGCAATTAATATAATATTAATCAGGATGCAGGCTATCCTTCTAATGAAGTTTTTTCAGATGCCTTGACCAACACCATCTGCAAATAAGGATCATTTGGCTTTTATTGGCTAGATAATATTATCAATATCGGCACAAAATGATTAACCATATTTGAAAAAGGGGTAATGGAACAACTTTTAGGAACAAACAAGGTATATTTAGTAAAAATTAGTTTTTAGATGTTGAAAGACACGTTAAGAAGTTTATTTTCGTTCAATATTCGATGGAATACTATTTGTACCATGCGCTTTATAATTACAAATCCGGCGAATTCCTTTTAATTTTAGCCCATTATTATATAATTTATTAGTTGTTTTATCAAATGTGACTGGGAAGTAATATTGTGGAAGATTGAATATCCTTCCTGAGTAACTGCGATCACCACCAGGTTTAGGTAGTGTTTGCACATTTCGGTGAAGTGTTTAAAGGAGTAGTGTTTGTCTGTTCTACTTTTTGGCGTTGGTTATGCTGTCGTCTGTTTTTCTTGAATATTTTCTTGTTATTTTCTTTATTCTTTTAACCAAAGAAAAGAAAACCAGATGGTTCAAAAATGAGCGAATAAAAGAAAACAGATGTTAAATTTTCATATGACGAAGACATAATCTTTCAATCACTTTAATTCAACTCGAATGTCATTACCTGCTAGTGGTCCTTTGTTAATTTATTTAACACTCTCATTTTGCTTAGTTTCTTTGTAACCTATTCTGACATCGAACTCGGACTTCTTTTTAACTGTACGTATTGCTGTGTGTATGTTTTTTCTATACTGGATAGAGGTATAGTGGGATGGTTGAGATCTCACAAAACATGTTTAACCCTGTCGCATTTTTGCGCCGGTTCCAAGCCAGGAGCCCCTGGTTTTATTAGTCTTGTATGATTTTTAATTTTAATTCAATTATATGTTTAACAGTTTAGTATGACGTCCATTTTTACTGCACTAGTACGTACTTTTGTTTAGGGGCCACCTGAAGCCCGTCTTCGGGTGCAGGATTTTCTCTCTGAGTTATAGACCATTGGTGGCCTTCGGCTGTTTTTTTGCTCTTTGGTCGGGTTGTTGTCTCTTGGACACATTCCCCATTTCCATTCTCAATTCAAAGATATGAAAACCATCAAAAATACCGAACTCCATAGAAAATTCAAAACGGAAAGTTCCTTATCAAATGACAAAACCAAAAGCTTAAACACACCAAACGAATCGAAAAAATATCATAAACCTCGTTCTCCTCTCTCTCTCTCTCTCTCTCTCTCTCTCTCTCTCTCTCTCTCTCTCTCTCTCTCTCTTTATGTAATACAGCGGAAATCTAGGAATCATCATATCCCTGCGTCCTTTTTCTGTGTTCTTCCCATTCATATACCCATCTGTCAGTGTAAAACAACTTTGAAATGGGCAATATTCCTCCTACAATGCTTGGTATATTTTAGTCAACTAATATCACTCGTTATTGTTGTGTATATTGTTGACTGGGATTGCCGAAGGTCGGTGGTTCCTTGGGCACTCCGCGGGCTCAACCAATAAAACATGATCGCCGAAAATACTTGAGAAGCACATAGTGCTGACTATTTCTTTCAACACCAACAATCAATCAATCATCTTTATATTACAATGTACTAATATGTTAACTATTCAGAAAGTGTAAGTATTGTTATTTCGAATTGCTAGAATTTCCAAATAAAACATTAATGTAGGTAAATATAATTGCAACATGTCTCAATTTATTTACAAGAAATTAAGTAGTTTGATAGGATTAAATACTGCGGACAGTCACGAAGAAAATTATCAGTAGCTAGCTTATAATAGCTTTCACGTCCTCAGTCAAAGAAACATGCAGTATTTTTGTGCCGGTTCCAAGCCAGGAGCCCCTGGTTTTGTTAGTCTTGTATGATTGTTAATTTTAATTCAATTATATGTTTTACAGTTTAGTATGACGTCCATTTTTACTGCATTAGTACGTATTTTTGTTTAGGGGCCATCTGAAGCCGGTCTCCGGGTGCAGGATTTTCTCTTTGAGTTATAGACCCATTGGTGGCTTTCGGCTGTTTTTTGCTCTTTGGTCGGGTTGTTGTCTCTTGGACACATTCCCAATTTCCATTCTCAATTCAAAGATATGAAAACCATCAAAAATACCGAACTCCATAGAATATTCAAAACGGAAGGTTCCTTATCAAATGACAAAACCAAAAGCTTAAACACACCAAACGAATCGAAAAAATATCATAAACCTCGTTCTCCTCTCTCTCTCTCTCTCTCTCTCTCTCTCTCTCTCTCTCTCTCTCTCTCTCTCTCTCTCTCTCTTATATAATACAGCGGAAATCTAGGAATCATCTTGACCCTGCGTCCTTTTTCTGTGTTCTTCCCATTCATATACCCATCTGTCAGTGTAAAACAACTTTGAAATGGGCAATATTCCTCCTACATTGCCTGGTATATTTTAGTCAACTAATATCACTCGTTATTGTTGTGTATATTGTTGACGGGGATTGCCGAAGGTCGGTGGTTCCTTGGGCACTCCGCGGCCTCAACCAATAAAAAATGATCGCCGAAAATACTTGAGAAGCACATAGTGCTGACAATTTCTTTCAACATCAACAATCAATCAATCATCTTTATATTACAATGTACTTATATGTTAACTATTCAGGAAGTGCAAGTATTGTTATTTCGAATTGCTAGAATTTCCAAATAAAACATTAATGTAGGTAAATATAATTGCAACATGTCTCAATTTATTTACAAGAAATTAAGTAGTTTGATAGGATTAAATACTGCGGACAGACACGAAGAACATTATCAGTAGCTAGCTTATAATAGCTTTCACATCCTCAGTCAAAGAAACATGCAGTATAAGCAACCAAGAAAACTTATGAATATGAAATATCAAAGTTTCGTTTCCAAACTTTCCCCTTAAAGTATGAATTTTCTGTGTATTATATCCTTTGACCTTATTACAATTTTAAGATTTGTGTTTTTCTAACGTAATATTGACTATATACAATTTGATATAACATAGAACAGTTAAAAAGGCGGTTTTTTTTGCAGATAGCAGTAGTTTTGGCAACTGCATGGGTTGTTATAATTGGCTGTTAAATTAACAAAAAACGTAATTGCAGGAAATTTATGATGCATAAAACATCCTTAGCACTAAATGAAATATGTTATTTGGTTTTACGGTGAATATTAATTGAATTACAGACAAATATATTGTTTTTCACTCATTTTTATCATTTTCACTGAAATTTCTGGAAAACGGCGCTATGTATTACAAATCCAACATAAATATTTCAATGTGCTTTTGATAAATAACTATTAACATCTGCTCTAACAGACTTTATATTTCCTTACAAAATATTATTATTCAGAAGGCAGAATATGCAAAAATGCTGACATCTTGTAAAATTAGAAATTGTCTGTCCTTGACCTTTCATTGCGAATTAATGGAAACTGCACCATACGAATATTTGACGACAGGGCAAAAAAGATAGTACAGATATGGTATATGATTTAGCCTATGTTAGATGGGTGCATTAAAAATAAATTTTTATGGTTAATGTCACGCGTCTATTATTATTAAATCGGTAGAGAACAAACGATATCAATATGCATTAATTTATTTTTTGTTTTAATTTTTTATGTGAAATTAATTGAAATATACTGGACTTACCATTTAAGTATCTAATTGACAACAACAACTACAAATACATGAAATATGTCTACAACATCAATAGAAAGACAGGCAAAGCTAGGTAATATAGTTCTGCATTTATTTCCAAAACTTTTGCAAATTATATTAAAAACACGTATTTGTCCAGGTGGATTGCAAGCGAAACATCAACTTAAGGACATACGCATTGCTCTGTCGAAGAGTGAAATACATTTAATGGAGAATCTCCCAAACATGGATGATTTCACAACTGAATTATGCTACAAGATATTACGGTATGAATATTTAATGATTGGACCATCGTGTAAGTGGGGGTATGTACCACACGACACAGAAGTTGAAATTGGCGATGATGTTCAGCGACTACTGAATGAAACAAATGAAGTTATCAGTAAAATGTCTGAGGAAATATCAGAGAATTATTACAAACAATTTTTAAAGAGATTGGAAGCAGTTATTGTGAGAGTGGATACATGTTTGCACCCAGAAAACTTCACTTGCTTCAAATTGTACGAAACAATTTGCAGATCTGATTTCGATTCCACTGATATTCTTCAAAAACTGACAGTTATGCAGAAAATCATAGGTATGATTATCAGAAGAAACACAAACATTTGGCACAAAATAGTAGCATAAACAGCAAAAATGCAAAAGCGTCAAGCAAATAACAAAGGAAAATAAAACCGTACAAAAATAACTTAAACAAACAGACGGATAATGAAGTGGTTAGTGATTCAATAAAATATACCTATGTGTGTTTTGCATTGTAAAATTAAGCATACAAGTTTACTTCTTTTTATAAGAAAATTAATGCTCCCTCCGTCTTGTAGAACACTTTGTAGCATTCAACAAAATAATTTTAAACCTCTATTGACCACGATGTTTGTACTTCTGTCAAATGTGTTTGAGGTTTATTAAACAGAAAAAAAAATGCATAATAATCTTCAACATACAATGCAAAACATCAAAATCAGAACATACAACGCTAATGATCGTAATGTGTTTGCGCCGAAACATCTAAGTGAAATCACTTCTATCAGCTCAAATATTTTTAACAGTTATCTGTTTTCATAATTTAAAAAAAAAATATTCAAAAGACAATAATGATATAGCAAAATAGACATCACAGAACTTAGAAATAAAGCCTATTTTGATGAAATAAAAATATATATGATATGATGGTTACGGACTCTTCATCATTTTTGTAGTGTCCGTAACCACATTTTCATTTATTCTGACTAAATTATAATAAGAAGGTGCTAAAAATTTTTTTTATGTAAGAAGAATTAAAGTTGATGAAATATCGCAATCTTCTGGGGTTTTTTATATTGTTTTTGCAGTAGAACATAGTATTGTTGATGTTGATAGTGAGAACAGAGAACGATTTTCAAGAATTTCGCTAGTTATTATTGACATTTTAACAAATATTCTTAGAGATATACTACGATCAAAGATTCCTCCCACCGAACTGTACCAAAAGTGCATGCCATATTTAAACTATTTCAATTTGGATCAACAAACAAGATTACATGAGTTACAATTACCAAATACGTATGAATCGTTCGATATTTCATTGATTTACAAATTGTTAAGACAGTTCTTGCTAATACCGCCTCCAACAAAAGGATGGGGCAATGTTCCAGACACAACAGATACAAATTTAGCAGCTGACGTAGAACGCATACGTTGTTACAGAAACCAAATGGTTTACAGATGTAGTACAAACATAGAACAGGATGCATTTGAGTTTTACTTCGACCAGTTTCGTGATATTGGTCATAGAATGGATCTCATATTTTTCAATAAAAGAAATTATGAAGGTACGATTGATCGATACAAGACTTGCCGAATGGATGATCAAATGCAAATCAAGTATGAGAACGCCTTGAAGAAGCTTGAGAACGTGACATGTAAGATGTTAATTTAATTTTAGGATTTCCTGTAAGAATGCAGAGCTTTTAATAATGTTTATATCCTCGCCATTGCTTTTAAGACGTAAACTCATTATTTTGTGATAAACATGTTTATGTTTCTCAAAAATTGTCAGCTAATAATATCTCAAGTGTCTTTTTTCTATTCTCATGAATAAATTAGAAAAATAATTTCGTGTTAAGATTAGATCTAACCAGTATATATCATGTCTAAATATGTAAATACTCACTGAATTCGATTGAGTTTGCCACGTATTTCTACCAATTCGAGGATCAGTGGCAGAAAGAACGATTGTATAAAAGTCACCATTTTACAATAACTTGTACATTTCAATTACTTTTCTTGCACTTGGAGTTTTATTTTCGGGGTTCGCTTTAAAATCGAAATATCTTTATCATCATTTATTCTCATATGTTTCACTTCGTGTCAAGCTCATGTGCGATCAGATACAAGTGAAGCACGAACACTTTCTACAGCATGAACGGATGTATATATTTTAGACATCACACGACGAGGGATACATTCTTTTAAATCAATTGTTTTATATTGAATATAAAGTTTCCCTTTAGATACAGGCATTTTTCTAATTTTATTGTTTGTCTTTTTATAGTAAGATTTGAAAAAAGGCCAATTAAGTTTTACTGGGGAGAAAATTTCGATAGATGTTTGAAAGATCTAAGATCGTTGTTAAAGGATGAAAAATTAGAAGGTAATCCTTTAATGTTTTGAATTTTTCTGATAAGCTTAAGTGGTACAATACTTATATATAAGAAGAAGTGGTATGAGTGCCAATGAGACAACTCACCATCCAAGTCAAAATTTAAAAAAGTAAACCACTATAGGTCAAAGTACGGTCTTCAACACGGAGCCTTGGCTCACACCGAACAGTAAGCTATAAAGGGTCCAAAAAATTACTAGTGTAAAACCATTCAAACGGGAAAACCAACGGTCTAATCTATATAAAAAACGAGAAACGAGAAACGAGAAACACTTATGAACCACATCAACAAACGACAACTACTGAACATCAGATTCCTGACTTGGGACAGGTGCAATCAAATGCAGCAGGTTTAAACGTTTTAATGGTACCAAACCTTCACCCTTTTTCTGAAACAATAGTGTAACATCACAACATAGAAAGACACACTATAAAATATCAACTGAAATAGCTTAACTCAATCAAAGGACATATTAACACCAATGAACATACACCGAACAAATAAATTTGACCTATGATACAATGTAAATACAAACTAAATACACTAAGGGAAGAATAATAAAAGTAACATGTTATATCGGTATGAAATGTTAAACAAATTAAGAAAAACAATATGCTCGAACAAAAATATCAGCCATTTGCAATAACTTTAAACACAGGTAAATGAAAATAATTGTGTTGTTATGTATACGTGTACAGTTCCAATAGAGAAAGGAAATATTATTACAAAATAAATAATATTGATGTTCATAGTACGAGGTGAACATTTATAGTAATACCAAACACTTATCGAAGCTGGTATATAGACCAGATATAAACCTGAATAACATTAAATAACAAAAAAGCATTACAATTAGTATCAACAGGTCAAATAATAAGAAAGTACGATTTGAGAGTACTCGCAGTTACTGACAGCTAGTTAAAAGCCTAAAACAATTAATAATAAAAAATAATGCATCAGAGACTAAAATCAACTAAAACACATCCCAGGGATTTAGTATTTTAACGTCATGGACGGTCAAAGAAGAAATGACTTGTGCAATGCCAAAAATAAATGTATCGTATATTATTGTTAATTTAATAAAATTATAAATTAGTGTTAAGATCATCGAATATAGACATTTTATGATATAATTGGTTTTCATAGAAAATACAGTGAAGTGAACAAAAATCAAGAACAGGTATTGATAAGGATGAAATATGTGAAAGTGTCCCGAATACTGTTTTTTGGGGTAATCTTTGCATATACATTTCTTGAAATCGTATAAACATACCGAAAAAGTTCCATTTTATCTTCACTCCTATGCTAGTTGATCAATAACTGAAGCATTGTATATCATCAGTTTTATATTACGATAGTGTGTTTTATATCCCCTTACCAAATAATTAGATCTAAACTATAAAATTAAAATATAAAAAGACAATTTTATGGATACAAAGAAGTAAAAAAATGTTTAATTTGTTAAATCATTACGTTTGATTTCATTGTAATTGAAGGTATAGATACTACATTTATGTCTAACTTCAACCCCCAAGATTGAGTGGTGTATAGAAATGTGGTCTCTATAGATCTCCGGCTGACCGGCAGTACAACCCTTTTTGAAAAGCGAACGGTAGGGCGTCAGTACAGGATGTACAAGAACGAAGCACGTCTAGTCAGAATGGGGAACTTAAATCCAATGCCTCGTGTCGAAAGAATGTCACGGTCTATGCACGTTAAGAACCCTTGAAACAATTCATTGAGAGGTCTGTAGGTGACCTGTTGCAAATGTCTGTCCGTTTCTAACATGCCCTCATTTTTAATTGACAGTCTAAATTTCCCTGACGGTGTCTATAACAGGACTTTTCTATTGTGTTTATACTAATGTTCTCGTCCTGAACATGCATGAAATATTAAGCCACTGAACGTTAAGCAACCACAAATTAATCAATCAATCTTGCTGCATGTATGTGCTGGTATAAAAAAATTGAAAGACAAAACATTCTTTCTTTCTCCCTAGTATATAGAGATGTTCATTCAACAGTTAAACTGGCGCAAATTTAACGAGGACTCTATTTTCATTCAACAGTTAAAATGACGCATATTTAACGAGAACTTTATTTTTACAATTACTTTAACCTTTTTGTAGAAAAAAGAAGTATAGTGTTTAAAACAAAACAGAATAATTAGTCATTCTTTTATGTAGGGAGGCGGAATGTTCGTTTACAGATTGTTTTACATACAGAGGCTGATGTCGAGAGAACTGCTGATATAATGAATACACTTAGAGACGAGATAAATGAAAGTCTAAGTGGTAAAGAATTCATAGTGGCCACTAAAAGGAGTTTAATTATAGATATAAAGATAATACTTGATATGTTTGAAACAGATGAAATGTTACAATCTACTCTGGCTTCATTTCTTGAAAAGATTATGGCACACATAATGACCTCCAATACTGAAAACATTAATATGGTTTTATTTCCTGTTGAAGGTTTGTCATTTATGTTCTAGAAATTAGCTATCTATATGTTCTGAATAATTAAATGTTCGTTGTGTAAACATGTAGTAATGTAAATGAAGAAATTATTCAACAGTGCGAATAATGTGACAGGATGAATATCGCAATAATGATAACTCGCCTTGTGATATCAGATACATTGATTTGTATGCAGATTTTCATGTAATTGCAATAACGTATTGTCAATTTTGCCCATTCTTAAAAAATCGCAGTAATAATTGCAAGCAAATATTACTGTAAATTCTGAAAATGCAAAGTGGTCACTTGTTTAAATGGTGTAATCAGTGTTGTATTTGTTCGAAAGATAAGCAAAATAGCTTTTGATTTATTTCAGCTATTCAATAAATACTTAATATAAAAAAGAAAGATGCGGTTTGATTGCTAATAAGACAACTCTTCAAAAGAGATCAAATGACACGGAAATTAACAACTATAGGTCTCTGTACGATCTTCAACAGAGAGTAAAGCCCATTCTGCATATTCAGCTATAAAAGGGCCCGAAATGACAAATGTAAAACATTGTCAAACAAATTGTGAAACATATTGTAACACAAATTAAACATGTTTTTTGTAATAACAAACAGAAGAGTTAAGTAGGAATTTTTCGAGTTTATCAACACACGCTCTTGACGGCTGGACATGCGTCAATAGTATGTATCTAACATAACATTATCTTTAGTAATCCTCTATCCGACATATTCAAAAATAATACAACAAGAGCTGATAAAACAAAAATGGACCAAGAGTAAATCCAAACCCGAAAAAAATCATCAGAGTTATACATGAGGTAGATCAATTTCTAGATTTTAAATTGTTTCAAAATAACAAGTCGTAAAATAATTCTGTTTAAATAACCAAACGACTGTAACCAGTTAAACTTGCACAAACAGCAAAAACGGTTAGGAAAGAATATACATCATACATGCAGTAAATATATCGGCAGTGAAAATAGTTACGCATCCATTTACAAAATTACAATGTATATGCTCTGAAATTTACCTCTTAATTAAAGAAAATCTTCCTTGAATTAATATTCCAGAGTACACAACCTTGAATGAAACAAATGCTAATGAGGAACCGATTTAACTTGACTTTGATAATGAGTACTATACATAACATGATGCGCAGATGCGTTTTACAACCATTGTCAGGTGCCTCTGGCCTTTGGATAGTCTTGTATGTTTTTTTATTTTAGTTCATTTATAAGTTGAGGAGTTTAGTGTGACGTTCATTTTCATTGAACTTATACACATTTTCTTTAGGGGCCAGCTGAACCCCGCCTCCGGGTGCAGGATTTTCTAGCTGTGCTAAAGACCCATTGGTTGCCATCGGCTGTTTTCTGCTGTTTGGTCGGGTTGTTGTCTCTTTGACACATTCCCCATTTCCACTCTCAATTTTATTCATCAAGTTCCTGTTTTCCGAATTAAAAAGGAGTATTATAAGTAATACATGGCTCAAAGTTTAACTTTAAGTTTGTGTAATTAATTTTAAAACAATTTGGAACCGATATTCAACATTATCTTCAATTGATTAAATAATGTATAATATGGTACGCCTGAATAGCCATGATACAATCGTTATAACTGAGTAGCCGAAAAATAATATTCAAACTCAAACCTTTATGACTTTAATAGGTTAAATGTATTAATGTATTTTACTTGAGAAAATTATGAATGAATTTTCATTTGCGCTAGTATTTATGTATTTTTAATACAGGGGTCAATCATGTTTGCAGTAATTTGTTTATTTCATATCGAAATGTGGCCTTTGAATTGATAGATTTACTCAAAATAGCATCGTAACAATGGTTCTACTGTGTACCTAAAGTAGAAGGCAGAACACGTACTGAATCGGAATACACTGTTGTTGTTGCGAGTATTAGACTTACATACTACAAAATAAAAAAATAGCCCCGATATCGGAGTATGCATCTTCGAAACCGCATACTCCGGTAAGAAACAGCTAGTCGTGAAAAAAATATAAGCGTAAATGAGATTGTTTTAGGTGGAAATCGACCAAAGATTGCCCAGCAACTTATCCATTGATTTTGTAAATGTTTCTATTAAATATTCCAATAATGTAATATGATTGATACCTGTTCAATGCGGTAAAATCAGAGGGAGCCCATTACACAAGTTGTATACAACATTACACAAGTTGTATACAATATAAGAGCTTATTTTAAGTTTATCATTACGGTCGACTATTATTTTGTAAAGCAATGGAATCGTTTGATTTAAGCGCTACAGATGATGTTTATGTAGACGAAAAGTGTATTCTGGCATGCAAAATTAGCAATATGAAAATAAGAAGATGTGGTATGATTGGCAATGAGACAAATCACCAGAAGGAACCAAATGACACAGAAATTAACAACTATAGGTCACCGTACGACCTTCAACAATGAACCAAACCTTTACCGCATAGTCAGGTATAAAAGGCCCCAAAAAGACAAATATAAAACAATTCCTACTAGAAAATTAACGGCTTTATTCATGTACAAAATAATGAACGAAAAACAAATATGATATACAGCAACACACGACATGGGACAGGCACATACAAAATTTAGTGGGGTTCAATTAGTTTGAAAGCGTCAACATTCCCACTCACTGGTAACAGTACACCATACTCGTTTCATTTGACTGTTTAATTGTATATGTGGGATAACATGATGCAATCGGATTATGCTTCTCTTTATGATGCATAATATTTCATTTTCAACTTCGAACTTGCATGGTTGCACATAACAAATGAGTACTGCAATAAAACACCGAGTAATGTTCTGAAATATTCAAATGATATAGAGTGCAATTGATCAGCACGGAATAAAATAAAACCATAGACTCTAAATAATTATATTTCTAAATATATTCATGTTATGTTCTGAAAATGTCTTTCTCTTTCTCCATTGCAGTGTTCACTTGATTCAAGGAATTATTTATCAAAACGACAAAACTAACTCCTGTTATCTGTTTCAGAGGAAACGATACCAAGCACAGGAGATGCATATTCCAAAGCGCAAGCACATGTGAGTTATCTTCCGGTTTCTGTCACTTTGCGTAAACAGTCAGATATCATCGATTCGTTTGAAAGTGAACACCCGCGTTATAAGGACTGCATAAAGATAGGTATTAAACTAGTTTTTACGGACTATACTTGAAGATGGTACTAATGTCCAACACATTCCTCTACCTTATAAGCCGTGGTTTATGACAAAGATAGACTGTAATACTGTTGCAGTATCTTGTAGTAACAGACATATACCGATAATCGATATAGATACTGGTACTGTTACCACTACAATCGTCACCAGTGGTCACAGCGAAGGAATATACTATAATGAGAATAACTTGTACGTTGTTATTATTTTGAGTGAACTACAGGAGATGGACTTGACAGGAAAAGTGACGCGTACGATACCATTACCTTCATACAGTACTTATTACATTACTGTTATAAATGATAATTTGACCTGTATCGATAGCACATCAATATACTGCTGCTCTTTAGATGGAAAACAAGTCTGGAAGTTTGAAGATAAAGACAAATATAAAGACTTAAGTGGCTTGACAACTGATGGGGAGGGGAATGTGTATGTGACTGATGAAATTACGCACACCGTTTTAGTAGTGTCCAATGATGGTAAACATTTTAAAGATATTCTAACGGAATCATATGGACTAAATAGACCGATTGGTGTTCATTTCGACAAAAAAAATAAACATTCTGCTGGTTAATAATAGATTCAAAGGAACAGTATTTCTATTTGATGTCCTGATGAAACACGTTCATGATGTTTTTGAGCCATATAGCTCTTCAACTGTTTCGAATGTTTTACATTCTCGGCTTTCACATATTCGGCTTTGGTCGTTACTGATGAAGGTAAATCCAGAAAAGCGCTTTGGACGCATGCAATTATTTTAATGTATTGTTTTCATTCAAAATAGATACTTCATGATCTAGGTAATGTTATGAACAAAAGGCAATTTGCTAGATTGATAGAATAACCGAAAACATTTTTATTCATTTGTTTATGATCTAAGTTTATTGTTAGGTTTGTTTCATGCATTTTAAAATTGTTTAACAATTGCTATAATACCATACATACTCCCAAAAATCTAGTTTAGTCATACAAGTGAGAGGTTTAGCCAGCCATAAAACCATGTTTAATCCACCATTTTTTACATAAAAAAATGTCTGTACCAGGTCTTGAATATGACAATTGTTTTCTTTTCGTTTGATGTGTTTGTAGATTTGATTTTTCTATTTGATAAGGGACTTTTCATTTTGAATTTTCCTTATATTCAGTATTTTTGTTATTCTATTATTGTATCAATACCGTGTAAATAAATATAGTTTAACGTTACAGAAACGCACGAAATATTTCTTCCTATACCTATTTACAAAACGTTCCTAGCACAGAGACAATTATATAAATCAACCTACTATCATGTGATATAATTTCAAGCTTACAAATATTTTTGGGAAACGTTCACGTTTATGAAAGTGACTATGGAAAGATACATGTACGTTTATCTTTATGTTTATCTTACACAACGTATTTGTTAGGAAAAGAGACATCTATATAATTATAGGTTTCATAACGAGTGAGAATGGGATATCGCTTGATATCAACTCGAGTTATTTAATTTCAATAAAATAATAAACGAGCCTTCGGCGAGTTTATTATTACTATTTAAATTAAAAACGAGAGTTGATATCAAGCGATACCCCATTCTCACAAGTTGTTAAACCTATTTCTCTTATGGTCAACACTCTCATTGCATTTAATTAAAAATTCCACGAATCGTTGATCTAGTCTTATGCACATTCCAGTATGACGTTTGTGTGTTTTGTATATTATTGAAAAATTTAATTTTGGATGTAACGAGTCTTCTGATTGGCTGACGTTGTTTTGTTTATCAGCTCATAGACATAATTTTGTCACGTGACCTTGATGTCATTAACGTTTTTTCATGATTTACGCCCGTTTAAAATGGAATTAAGAATTAAATTATAAGAAATGACTGTAATATTTTTTCTGTCTATTCGAAATAACATACGCGGGTTATTCAGTGTGCACCACATTTTTGATGTTATTTCTTCATAGATAGAAAAAATATTACAGTCATTTCTTAAAGAAATCACATATGTCCGTTGCCATGGACGAAATGTACATCGTCGTAACCTTTGAAGGTCATCAATGACCTAACGAATAGCCAACGGAAATGCTTTAATATCGTCTTATGATTCTGAATAAGCCAATTAGATTAACACAGATTTTCGTATCACTTTTTCATATCACACTCCGTGCAACGTGATACGAGAGATATCTATTCATGCAAGAAATAGATAACAGGCCATAACCATAAGAAAAAGGATGTTACTGGTCTGTGATATGAGTCAATGTTTAGCAGGTTCAAGATACCGAATAGATTTGTTTCTCTCTTGATATTTTACACCCTTATTTGGGGCAAAATTAGAACGTGATTTACCTTTTAAAAGGAGATGGAATCTTATTTACTCAAACTCGATATTAGCAATTTGATCAAATAAAACAAATATATGTTTTATGTCTAAAAATAACATTCCTTTGTTAACTTACATATTCGTATACATTATGTTCTTTTTTCTTTTGCATGATCATTCCTAAATAAAAGAAGTACAACCCATCCATTATTTAAAGAACACGTGTGTTCGGTAAGAAATTGTATTATTTGATTTTCCGTCTCTACTTAAATTGCAGTAATCTGACATTCAAGTAATGTGCGTATTGACTGCTCCACGTGTATCACTAACATGAAAAAGTGTAAATACTTATTAGAATTTAACAAGAATGTGTTCATAGTACATGGATGCCCTCTCGCACTATCATTTTCTTTGTTCAGTGGACCGTGAAATTGGGTCAAAACTCTGATTTGGCATCAAAATTAGAAGGCACATATCATAGAAAACATGTGAACTAAGTTTTAAGTTGATTGAACTTCAACTTCATCAAAAACTACCTTGACCAAAACATTTCACCAAAAACTTTTACCAAAAACTTTAACCTGAAGCTGGACAGACGGACGAATGAACGGACGAACGAACGGACTCACATA